GAAGAGTGCATTTAAATCTCACCCAGAAGCAATGGGTTATGCTCAGCCTGCCAAGATGTTCCTACCATGTGAAAGGCCCAGGCTCTGAGCTAGCCCACAACAGGGAGCTGAGTCCCAGGCTCATATCACTTTGGAGTGTTGATTCTCATCCTGGAGTGACTTGTCATCCAGGGGCATTTGACACCTTAAGATGTTTTGATTACGACCATGGGGAACTCCTGATGCTATCTAGTGGCTGAAGGTAGAGATGGCACTCAACACCCTGCACTGCTCAGGACAGACCCATGACAGACGTATCTGCTCCAGGAACCCCTACTCTGAGGTATAGATGGTTAGTTATTTGTTTGGATATTTAAATGAGGTCCACAGAGCTCAAACTGACCCCCAAACCACGATTCTTCTCCTCTATTCTGGGTTACAATTATGTACCACCACCACCTATCTTGCTAACATTAGTTTCTTGAGAGCAATGACAAGGCAGATTCAGGATTTCCTGCAACACCTTTGTTGTACATTATTCACCAAAGAAGAATGCTTAGAGATGGGTTTAAGCCAATAGAAAGTCTTTATTAGCCAACCAGCAACTACACTGAATGTTCAGGATACCAGTGTAGCCCGGAGCCTTTGTCAGGATGAGCTTTTAAGCATATAAGAAAGTGTACCGACTGATGGTTCATGTATATGGTGGTGGACTTTCCTTCTCTCCATCTGAGAGCTTGGGTCAGATCTGCTATCTGGGCTGAGGTGCCTGGCTTGGGACCAAATCATTTTGGCCAAAGAAACTATTGCAGCTCCCGTGTTCCTGGTTTCATCTTCCATCTTCTGACAGTCAGGGATGAGCACCTGTGTCATCAGGCAAGCGGGTAGCCTAATCGATGGCAGTGTGTTTCTTAAACCAGACTTGAGAGTGAGCCAGCAGTAGGGACTGGTACTGGGTCACACAGTCACTAGCCAGTCAGCATTCCGATGCTCTTCAGAGGAGGATTCAACCTTGCTGTGGGGTGCAGTGAAAATAAGAACTTGACCCATAGTTAACTTGTTCTCTTTCTTTCATTGAACTACCAGCAGCTGCCACAGCTCTTAGACAGGTGGACCCTCGTGTGGCTACAGGGTCCAATCATTTGCACAGGTATGTCACAGGGCATTTCCCTGGCCCTAAAGTTTGGGTTAAAACCCCTTTTGTCTTTTGTTTCATGGAGAAACAGATGAAAAGGTTTTGAGACATCTAGAAATTCTAGGGCTGGAGTGGAAGTCAGTGCTGTTTTTAAAGGCTCAAATACCTTTTGTTTAGAATCAACCAGATTAGGGGCTTAGTGCCCCCCGCTTGTGATGGTGTATAGAGGCCTTGCTGTTTCCACAGACTCTGGTATCCAGAGGCAGCAATATCTGGCTGCACCTAGGAACTCTGGAACCTGTCTTTTAGTCTTTGGAGTTGGGATCTGAAGGATGGCAGCAATCCTACTCTGAGGAAGGCTCCTTTTGGTAGCCAAGATAAGTAGCCTTCTACAAAGCTGGGCTTTCTTAGCCAATGTTCTGTAGCGGAGGTCTCTGGCTCAGGCCTGCCCCCTCAGTGGTGGCTCCCTTGTACCTGCTCCTGTAGAGGTTGTTACCTCAGGTCTGCTCTGGAGGAGGTAACTGACTTGAGCCTGTTCCTATGGAGGTCACTTCCTGAGGCCTGCTCCCTTGGAGGTTCCTGACTCATGCCTCGTCTGGTAAAGGTCTCTGGCTTGAGCCTGCTCCCTTAGTGGTTGCTCCTTTGTGCCTCCAAAATAACTCTTCTATAAGTTACTTTGGTCCGGGTGTTTTGCCACTGCAACAGAATAATCACTAATATCACAAACCAAAATTTACAAATATTGTCAAGAATGTGCAAAATTTCAAATATCATGTATTGCTGGTGTCAATGAATACAGTACCTTTAGGGCAAGTCAAGAATGTACAACACTTCAAAACCTCAGGTGTTGGTGGTGGCAGTGAATAGAGTCCCTTAGGACAAACCCTACTGTTGCAGAATATTTTACACTGTAAGGATATGTTTCTGCCTAAGGCGCCTTCTGATTGGTTTAATAAATAGCTAAATGGCCAATAGCTAGGCAGGAAAACATAGGCAGAACTTCTGGGAGAGAGAGGGACTGAGAGGGAAGAAGAATCTAGGCATACAGGAGAGGAGACGTCAGGAGACACTGAAAAGGACATATAGTACAGAGTGGAGGTAACTAAGCCACGTGGAAGAATGTAGATTAACAAAAGCAGGTTGTTGGTGGAACAAGCCAAATGGCCAAGCTTTCATAATTAATAAGAAGTCTCTGCTGTTATTTGTAAGCTTGTGGCTGACAAAATGTTTGCTATAGCCTAGGAGTTTCTTAAAAGGTTAAACCAGGCTGGAGAGACTTGCTGTTCTTGCAGAGGACCCTAGCTCAGTTTCCAGTATCCACCTGGAGTGACTTACAATTTTCTAATTCCTGCTCCAGGAGATCCTATGCCCTCTCTGGCCTCTGTAGCCATGCACATATGTGTATATATACTCTGTCACAAATACATGCATAAATAAATAGCAAAATAAATTTATGCTTTTAGTGTTAAAATAGGGGTTGAGTTGGTAGCTAAACAGGTAAGAATACACACTGTTCTTGCAGAGGACCCAAGCCTAGGTCAGTTGATCCAGGTGAAGGAAGGCAGAGATAGTAGTCTAGCTAGTCAGTCAGTCAAGACAAAACTATGAGTTCCAGGTCCACGAGGGACATTCTGTCAAAAAATAAGATAAGCACAATAGAGGATGACATCTGATGTTGACGACTGACCTTCAGATTCACACACACACACACACATCATACCCGAATATTCTTTTATTAACTATGATAGTCAAAAGGTAGAAACAACCCACCAAAGTCCACAAACTGATAAATGGCAAATCAACATTGTACCAGCTGGTTTTGTGAGTCAACCTGTCATAAGCTGGAGTCCATGAGATCCAGTGTAAGGCATTTTCTCAATTAGTGATCAATGCGGGAGGATCCAACCCTTTATAGGTAGTGCCATCCCTGGCTGGAAACCCTGGGTTCCTGAGCAAGCCAGGGGAAGCAAGCTAATAAGCAGCACCTTCCACAGCCTCTGTATCAGCTCCTGCCTCCAGGATCTGAGTTCCTGTCTTGAATTCCTTCAGTGATGAAGCAATGTGGAAGTGTAAGCTAAATAACCGCCACCCCCCCCCCCACTCACACACACACACACACACACACACACTCACATGCACAGTCCACACTCACACTTGCTTTTTGGTCATGGTATTTGTTGCAGGTATAAGAACCCTAACGAAGACATATATTGTGTGTTGTTGTTTGTCTACGAAGAGACTGATGCTGCACGGAGGGAGGAAGATTGAACACATCTTCTGTATGAAAGAACTGATTTGTGAGAGCTTGCACGCATTATGATTTAATTTAAACAACATATCTAAACAGCCATTTCACAGAGAAAGAAACCAATGCATAACGCTGTAGTGGGGAAGAATGGGTAATGGGAGCGAGAGCCAAAGAGTTTAGATAAATTGGTTATAAATGTACAAACGTGACCAGGGCACCTGTTACAAAACTGTGACTCTACATAATAAGAAAGAAAAAACTCCTGCGTGGGTCGCCTGAATTTCGCTCCTGTCTGGCTGTGACCTCAGGAGTGTTGCTTTCCCTATGCCTTACTTCCTCATAGGCCAAGGATGGCAGTAGTAGTTTTCACTTCCTGGGGTTGTGAAGGCTGAAAGAATAAATACAGATTAGAACAATGTCTGAAAATAAGAAATAAAAACTGCTTTGTTGTCTATTCCAGCCAATATCTTACTTTAATATATACTGGAGTGTCAAGGATAAGGTATTTGCACAGATAATATACACAAACCTTTGAAGTTATCTTTTCCTTGAAATAATCTTTATTTATTTGAGACATGGTTTGAAGTAGCCTGCCCTGCCTTGAATTATCTATGCACCCAGACCTTCAATTTTTGATCCTCCTGCCTCCACCTCCCAGTGCTATAAGACTTGTATCCAGCTATTCTTGTAATTTTAAGTATATCATATTCAATAATTTTAAATACATAAACATTGTTATGCTTATTTTGATAATTTATATTTTACTCATTTTTTCCCTCCTAATTGACATTTATAAAAAATCAATTGAAGGTCTGGAAAGACAGCTGAGTAGTTAAGTGTACACATTGCTCTTGCAGAAGATCAGAGTTTGGTTCCTTATGAGGTGGCCCACAGTTCAGCGTAACTCCAGCCCCAGGAGAGCTAATGCCCTCTTGCAACTTCTTTGGACACTGCATGCACATACACAAACACACATACAGACCCATATATACAGAATTTACAAATAAAGAAAATTGAAAATTTCCTCTGTTGTAAGGTGGAATGCGGTAATAGAGGTCAATTAGTAAAAACTGCTAAGACACAAATGGAGGAAGTTAGGGGGAAATCCAATTAAAATTTGAGTCAGTTACAGCAGTAACTCAATACAAATCTAATAAGGTTAGCAGCACTTAGCACTTTTTTTTAACTTTAAAAATAATACCAATCAAAATTCCCACTTCTTCTCCTCCTCCCGCTTTTCTCCTGCTCCCCCCACAACTCTCCCCCCCCAACCCAACACGTAGCACTTTTTAAAGAAGCTATTATACTGCCTATTTAGTGACAAAACAATAGCGTTGGAAGTCTGACCTGAGTCTGACCCCTGAGACTCATTCATTTTCTACCTCAACACAATGCTAATAAAGCACAGCAAGCTAAACTCTGTTTAAGGAGTAGTAGCACCTCACCAGAATACAGCGAGGCAGGCAAACAGACAGTTAAATTCAGACCATGTATGTATATGCAAACTTCAGGGTTTTCCATTCTGGTATCCAAGGTTTTGCTTTCAACGCGAAAGTGTCTACCTAGTTTGACCCAAAGGGCTTCCCGTTGTACTGTTTCTAAGCGCGCATGCTCAGCCGCTAACCTTCGGCATTTACTTCCTGCTGCCTTCACAATGGCGGCTCGCGGCGTGGGGCTTTTGACCCGTTTGCCCCTACATTCCCAGAGAAGGAGCCGCGTCCAGCGTTCTATTCCCAGGCATTTCAGTTGTCCAGGGACTGTAGCCGCGAACTTCGGGAGCGAAGAGCAGCCTTTAGACGGTGTGCAGACAGGTGCCGGGGGTGGCCGAGGCGGGCGGAGGGCGAGCGGCGCTGGCCAGGGGCTGGACCCCCGAGGCCTGGCGGAAAGCCAGCGGGGCGTTCGTCGCTGTGAAGACGGTTTCCGCGCTCAGCAGTGAGATACTAGACCAGGAACACAATCGGCGAGTGTCTGTAGTTCAGCACAGAGCTCCTGTGCGGTGGGAGTAACAAAGTTGGCACCCAGTGGCGTTTGCCCCACCCCTGACCCCAGCGAATCTTTTGGTAATCTGTTTTAGGGTTACTAGTACTGTGATGAAAGACCACGACCAAATGACCAAAAGCAGCGTGGGAAGGAAAGGTTTTTTTTTTTTTCCCCCCCCCCCCCACACTTCACTGAGGGAAGCCAAGGCAGGAACTCAGACTGGTCGAGAATCTGACCATGGAGGAGTACAGCTTACTGGCTTGCTCACGGCTTGCGCAGTCTACTTTCTTTTTTGTTATTTTATGTTTTTTAATTAATTTTTATTGAGCTCTACATTTTTTCTCTACTCCCATCCCTGCGTCTCCCCTCCCCTTCAACCCTCTCCCACGGTCCCGATGCCCCCAATTTATTCAGGAGATCTTGTCTTTTTCTACTTCCCGTGTAGAGCAGATCTATGTATGTCTCTCTTAGAGTCCTCATTGTTGACTAGGTTCTCTGGGATGTGATTTGTAGGCTGGTTTTCTTTATGTTTGAAAACCACCTATGAGTGAGTACATGTGATAATTGTCTTTCTGTGTCTGGGTTACCTCACTCAAAATGATGTCTTCTAGCTCCATTCATTTGCCTGCAAATTACAAGATGTCATTATTTTTTTCTGCTGTGTAGTACTCCATTGTGTAAATGTACCACATTTTCTTTATCTATTCTTCGGTCGAGAGGCATTTAGATTGTTTCCAGGTTCTGGCTATGACAAACAATGCTGCTATGAACATAATTGAGCACTTGTCCTTTTGGTACAACTGAGCATCCTTTGGGTATATATCCCAAAGTGGTATTACTGGGTCTTGAGGAAGGTTGTTTCCTAATTTTCTGAGAAATCGCCACGCTGCCATCCAAAGGGGCTGTACCAGTTTGCACATCCACCAGTAATGCAGGAGTGATCCCTTTACCCCACAACCTCTCCAGCATAAGTTGTCATCAGTGTTTTTGATGTTGGCCATTCTTACAGGTGTAAGATGGAATCTCAGAGTTGTTTTGATTTGCATTTCTCTGATGACTAAGGATATCGAACATTTCCTTAAGTGTCTTTCAGTCATTTTAGATTCCTCTGTTGAGAGTTCTCTGTTTAGGTCTATACTCCATTTTTTATTGGATTATTTGTTCTTTTGATGACGAATTTCTTGAGTTCTTTGTATATTTTGGAGATCAGACCTCTGTCTGATGTGGGGTTGGTGAAGATCTTTTCCCATTGTGTAGGTCTTGTTGACCATGTCCTTTGATTTACAGAAGCTTTTCTCTTTTAGGAGGTCCCATATATTGTTTCTCTCAATATCTGTGCTACTGGGGTTATATTTAGAAAGTGGTTCCATTTACTCCATTGGTCTGTATTTTTGGAGGTCTCAGAGCTCCCAGGGTTTGCTCTGCTCCCGTGGAGTTCACTGCCTCAGGCCTTCTCTGGTCTAGGTTGCTGGCTCAGACCTTTTTCTATAAATGTTCCTGGTCTGGATCCACTCCTGCGGAGGTCCCTGGCTTTGGGGTTGATCCTGCAAAGGTTTCTGGCTCCGATCTACTCCCTTGGAGGGCCCGGACCCACAGAGTTTTCTGGTTCCTGCCTATTCCCTCAGAGGTCCTAGACCGAAGCCCTAACCCACAGAGGACCTGTCTCAGGCCTACTCCCTCAGATGTCTCTGGTTCTTACTTACTCCCCTGGAGTTCCCAGACTCATGCCCAGACCCCCAGAGGTCTTGGCTCAGGCCTAGTTCCTCAGAGGTCCCAGACTCACTTGGACCAGTAGGGGTCCTGGTTCAGGTCTGCTCCCTCGAAGTTCCTAGATTCACACCCGGACCCATAGAGGTCTCTGGCTCTGGCTCACTCACTCAGCAGTTGCTCCCCTGTACCTGCTCCTATGGAGTTCGCTGTCTCAGGTCTGCTCTGGCCCAGCTCCCTGGCTCAGTTCTGCCTCTGCAAATGTTGCTGTTCTGGATCCACTCTATGTTTTGCTTTCCCAGCTTGCCAAAGCTCCAGTTTATCATCTCCCTGCAGTAGCATCCCTACCACAGCACACAAAACCATTAGTGCCAGCTCCCGCAGTCTACTTTGTTATAGCACCCAGGACTGCCAGCGCAGGGTGATACCATCCACAAAACCTGGTCTCTTTGACATCAACCTCTAATTTAAAAAATGCTCTGAGGACTTGACTGTAGCCCAGTTTTGATAGAGGCATTTCCTCAAGTGAGGGTTCTTCATCTCAGATGACTCTAGTTTGGGTCAAGTTGACATAAAACTAGCCAGTGCAATGCCCATAAGATGTCACTGAAGGCTGAATACACCAAAGCCTACTGAACAGCCAGTTTTCCTGGCTCCTGGAACCCTCTGCCTGTGAAAGCATCTATTCTTTTGGTGTTTCATTTTAACCTGTTTGGTAGCAGATATATATATCTGTTGTTTAACAGGAGCCTTCTAAATGTATACACTTTGTCCATTGAGATTCCATCCTCACTGAACCTTTCTTCCATCCCAAGAACTTTGTATGGTGTGATGGTGTTTGCAAGAAGTTTGCTGCATGTTAAAATAGTGATTGGATTGGGTTGGAAATTCTTAACCCTGCAAATTCAAATAAGGATTCTGCCGAAATCTCTTGTATGGATTTTCTGTGTGTGTTGTGCATGGGTGTGGGCATGTGGGTACGAGGATGTAGTTGATGTGGAGAACTGTTGGCATTGCTCTCCGTCTTGTTTACTGAGGCAGGATCTCAGTCAAACCCAGAGCCTGAAGAAGTGACTTGAGTCAGTAGTTGCTCTGGGAACCAGCCCTCTCTCTATGACAGTGCCTCCATACCTGCCTGGCATTTCCTTGGGTTCTGGGGATCTGAATTATGTTCTTTAAACTTCTGTGGCTACCTGGGTGGTGGTGGCGCACACCTTTAATCCCAACACTTGAGAGGTGTATCTCTGAGTTTGAGGACAGCCTGGTCTACAAGAGCTAGTTCTAGAACAGGTGCAAAAACTACAGAGAAACCCTGTCTCAAAAAACAAAACAAAAAACCAGCCAAACTTCTGTAACACCACTGAACCATCTCCTCATCCCTGACTCCTTTTTATAGATGAGAAGGAAAAAAAAAAAAAAACAAGTCTGACTCTCCAGTTCAAGCTTCCCCATCTTTCCAGTGGCAAAAACATAAATAACATTCTCGCGACTTTGAGGCCATCCTCTTCCTTTGCTGTAGATTTTGTTGCACTTTTGTGTCATCTGGATAATGTAGCTGAATGAATATGCAAACTCTTGAGGGGCATCTGAGTAACCAGATGCTCAAAAGAGAAGAAAGTGTACCTTGGCCAGGAAGCGACTTATGCTTTCATTTTATACAGTCTTAAACTGTTTAATTTACTTTTATAGCAAGCAGTTGAACACCAATTTAGCCTCAGTAAAAACCAGAAGCAAGAATGTTTAAGAGGTAATTATACCCAAAAAGTGGTGAGGAGTTTCAGGCAGAGGTTATTCATAAAAAGAGAAGAAAGTGAGGGCGGAGAGGAAGAGCAGTCTAAGATCAGATTGACAGGAAGTAGAGCAGTCTTTGTTAACATGGAAAAAGGCAGCCTTCCCACTGCTAACTAGATACTGCATAACGACCCTACGAATTGCACTCCTTCGTAGATACTGAAGTGGGGAAAGACAGGTGGAAGATAGTCTACTGTGGAGTGACAGAAGTCTTCATATACCTGAGCAAAATTTGAAGGCTGAATGGAGGTTGGCCAGACAGAAAGTGAGCAGATGGGCATTCCAACAGGGGTTGAAAGCCAGAAGGTTCTTAGCATGTGCTGGTAACTGTGTGGGCAGTGCCCTATGTGAGAACTTTGAGGGCAGAGAGAGAAGGTATGTTGAGGAGGAAGGAGGCAGCTAAGGCTGTGTTATTTAGACTTGACTTTACAGGTAGAATAGATCATTTTGGCAGTAGTGTGGAGCAGTCATAAGTGGGACAAAACAAGATCGATATTGTGATGGCCCAGGCCTGAGATGAGTGTTGAAAACTGACACAGAGTGGAGAGGAGGGCACACATGAAAGAATGTGTCTTCAGCATCTCGTACAGGAGGGATAAGTGTGATGTTTCTGCTTGTTTGAAAATGATGAGTGAGGTCAAAGCCAGAGTTCTCTGATATGCCATAAGACTTGGCTTTGAGCTGGTGCTGATGAGGACAGTTTAGGGTTCTGCAGCTTGCACTGTCATGAACCCCAATCTCCCCCTTTCCAATGACAATATGAAAAGGTACTTTTCATATCCAGTTTATGTTGTAATGAGGATTGTATCCACTGCACTAACTGAAGCACATCTCCAACCTTAGATTTTAATTTCCCTGTGATAGAATGCTTAATCAACTGGGTATTAACTGTTTGAGCCAGATCAAGACTTTAGTTTCCTTTATGTTTTTCAGTATTATAGATTGTACAGGTTTTGGTGTGTGTGTGTGTGTGTGTGTGTGTGTGTGTGTGTGTAAGCAAGTGGTAAATGACTGGTTTAATTTATTATTTTTGCTTTTAGGGTCTTACAGAACCATTTTCAGCATTGTATCTCAAGTATTCCAAATCACAATTTTATTGATAGCCACAGAAAACAGTAAAATAAGCCAAATGTGATGGCACATTTAATCCCAGCACTTGGGAGGCAGAAGCAGGAGGATCTCTTGAGTTTAAGGCCAGCCTTGTTTACATAGTGAGTTCCAGGCCAACGAGGGCTAGAGTATCTTTTTGGTTTCTTGAGACACTCTGTAGTTTGGTTTCTCTGTAGCTTTGGTGCCTGTCCTGGAACTTGCTCTGCAGACCAGGCTGGCCTCAAACTCATAGAGATCTACCTGTCTCTGCCTTCCCAGTGCTGGGATTAATCTGTCTTAATAAACATTAAAAAGAAGAAAGGACAAAACATGCAGTTAGGTTAAAAAGGTGCCAATGGCCAAGTTTGATCACCTACGTTTTATCCCTATCAGCCACATAGTGGAAGAAGAGAACTTACCCCAAAAGTCCTCTGACCTCTACATGTGTGCCAATGCATAGACATGTTTGTGCACAAACAATAAATAAATAAATTTTAAATATGTGATTAGAATAAAATTATTTTAATCACATGTATAATCTTCATATGCTTTATCAGCATGTGTTTTAAATTTTATGTGTGTATTAGTATAAATGTTTTTGTCTCATTTGTAGGCTCTGAAGACAAGATCCCCAAAAAGAGATTCTCTGAGGTGCAGAAGGAGAGAAGAGAACAGGCTCAGCGGACTGTTTTGATACATTGCCCAAATAATATCAATGAGAAAAAGTTTCTCAAGTATTTATCCCAGCATGGACCAATTAATAAACATTTCTTCTATGAGAGCTTTGTATGTATCGAAATATCTAACTTGGTGGTCATGCTTTTGGAGGTAGTTTTTGTTGCTTTTTGTAGTATGTGAACAAAGATCTCTTAGTATTCAACCTGTTCCTTGATTTCTTTAATGAGGCTTTCCCTCCTTGTGTTATGATAAAAGGAACCCTTATTGCGGCGTTTTAGAACTGTACCTGATACATAGCTTAGTAATGAAACACTTGTCTAGCATACTGGAGACCCGGGGTTCAGTCCCCAGCATTATAAAAAGCAAAACAACAGAAAAGCAAGCTGGAATTGTTAGTAACTTTTAATGGAGTGATTCCATAATCTGAAGACCTTCAAGCAGTACTTCTCAACTTTCTAACGCTGCGACCCTTTAATACAGTTTCTCATGTTGTGGTGACCCAACCATAAAATTATTTTGTTGCTACTTCATTGCTGAAATTTTGCTACTATTATGAATCGTAATGTAAATATCTGGTATACAAGATATTTGATGGTGAGCCATGGCTTGAGAACCGCTGCCCTAGAGTCTGGTGCTTTAGATGGTGGCAGAAAGGGATATCTGAGCTTGTGCTGTCCTGTTACAGTGCTCTTCTCAGGGCACTGTAATGTTTTCTTTTCCTAATTTACTTGTAATGAGTTGTATTAGAATTGTATAATTTATAAAATCAAATTGTATTTTATAACAGTATCATTGTTTTAAGGATGCTGTATTAATGCGTTGACTATAACATTATGAAACATGTTCTTTTTTTTCCTTTTCTCATGCCTTTCATCCAGGGCTTTTATGCTGTTGTAGAATTTTGTCAAAAAGACAGTGTAAACTCTTTGCAGAGTGAAGCACATACTCCAAACATGAGCACAGAGTCTGCAATTCCATTTAAGTCACGTTTTTTGAACTTAAAGCTGAAAAATCTATCTAATAAGATACCTGAGCAGTTATGTGCACAGACAAGCAATCAGTCGCCTCCTTCAAGCAAGAAACTCTTTGAATTGCTGAATTATGCAGAAAGCGTGAGTTTCCATGTAACTTCAGATTTTTAAATGTATATTTGTGCATTATAAAAGTTCTGGGACTTTGTTATATAGGCAGAGGCTGCTCGTTCATTCCTGGCTGCTCAGACCTGAAATAATTACACAAAACTGTATTAATTAAAACACTGCTTAGCCAATAGCTTAAGTATATTGCTAGCTGGCTCTTATATCCTAAACTAACCCATCTCCATTAATCTGTGCACCACAAGGTCATGACCTACCAAGAAAGTTTCAGTGAGCTCCAGTAGAGGCTTCTGTCTCCTGTGGCAGCTACATGGCTTCTCCCTGACCCCCCCCCCCTTTCTCCCAGTATTCAGTTTAGTTTTCCTGCCTAGTTCTATTCTGCTAAGCCACTGGCCAAAACAGCTTTATTCATTAACCATTAAAAACAACACGTAGACAGAAGAACTTCCCACACCACAGTTACATTGATGTTTAGAAGGTACTGTGTTTAGTTTTGCTAGGTGAGAGTTGATGATGGATACATAGTGATACCAAGGACAGCTTTTTGCTAAGAGTTGATGGACTCTTAGCCTGTCAGACAGCTGCTGAGTTTAGCTTGTGAGGTTATCTTGGCAACTGCCTTCTGATATCAAAATTCTTATGTATTTTTCCTCCTGATTTCTTTCAGAGCAGTGAATTGCAGTATTACATGTCCTTACTACAAGTCATTCTTGTATTCATAGACTTTTATCTATTTGGTCAGGATGTACTTTAAAACGTGTATTTGCTTGGCTAATTTTTTTTTATCTCTTTTAGGGTAATTTCTGACTTTTTCTAAAACAGTACTTTATACTTTTTGCCTGCAAAGAATAGTTTAGCCAAGTTGTATTTTACTAGTGCTTTTAGTAGTATTTTTAAGAATCAGCTTTTAAGGGTTGGGAGCTGGCTTAGTGAAAAAACTGCTCCTATGTAAGTGTGGGGACACCCATGTGAAATCAGAGCATCATGGTGAGTGCCAGCAATCCCAGCACAGGGATGGTGGCATGGGCATGGTAGATCTCCGCAGCTCCCTGGCAAGCAAGTCTAGCTAAAATGGTGATCTGTAGGTTCAAAGAGAGACCCTGTCTCAAAAAATAAGATAGACAGCAATTGTGGACAACACCCAATGTTGACCTTTGATCTCCTCGTGAATGAAGAGGTTAAAGCACCTGTGTACACTAATGTACCACATACACATCCCCATACACTCCTACGTACACACATATGCACACTTGTGTGAGTGCACACATGCAAAATGTTTATTTTTCAAATCTACTTTTAAGACTAAAGGAAAAAATAATGTGTTTTTGAGGTAAATCTCCAAAGCAGTGAAAATGACATTATTGTATACACCTAAATATCTGTGTATTTTTGCTTTTTCTTCGGCCAGCTAGATAGACGATCAGCTGCACACTCTCCTGAAGACCTTCCAGCTCACAGAGGAAAATGTCCGGCTCCGCCATCTCACCTGCTCTCTCATTGAGGACATAGCTGCTGCATATTTTCCTGGCTGTGTCATTCGGCCCTTTGGCTCCTCAGTGAACACATTTGGCAAATTAGGATGTGATTTGGACATGTTTTTAGATTTAGATGAAATTAGAAAACCCAATGTTCATAAGGTAATAATTATTTCTTTGTACCATTATAAGAAATCAGAAAATTTAGGAAATCTTTGAACCTTAATAAAGTTATAGTTGTTGATTTCTAACTTAGTAATGATAACTAAAGAATGAAGTTTATCTACTAGAGATTATTTGGAGTTGTAAAGTACTTCTTTGTGTTGGTCTAACGTGGAGTCACTTACCGTGTCCCTTCTACATGTGCTACACAGAGAAACTGTTTCAAAAAAAAAAGATTTTTTTGGATTATGGGTTTAAGAATATATCTTCATTTAAGATCATCATAGATTTACCAATAGAAAAAATAATAGTAACAATTTAAGCACTCTTAAATTTGCCAAGTTTCTAAAATGTTGCTGTTGTAGTTTATCCAATTCTGAACTTGTTGGCACTTCACCTTGTTTTATAGTTCTTTGTCTGGTGGTTTTATTCTTCAGCCTAAGTTGAGGGAATTAGAAGTGTATGTTGACCCAATTTCTAGGTCTCAAACTATGGTGTATGATGCCCAGTGATGGACAGGGACTAACAGGTTGTTTACTGAGGAATAAATGGAGAGTCACTTACTAATTGAAATAATAAATTTTAGTGTTTCTGAATTTGTTTATGAAATGTGCCAATGAACTTCACACACACACACACACACACACACACACAAAACCTTAGAATGAAATAGTAAGCTTGCGTCTGCCTTTGGTTTTCTCTATTTGGCTTTTTCTGATAGAAAGGCATGTATGTTGCAAGATTTAGGCAATAGAAGTGAAAATTAGTAACTGTGTCCCAAGTAGTGTTTTCCTGTTGTCTGACTGACTGGTTTGGGCTGTATGCTTAGTTTCTGTATTTTTCTTCATTAGATTTTCTTCCACCATGTAGTGCCATATGAGAAGCACTCACGGAGTTAGCTGTTCCTACAGTTTTTTCTGAGTATGTAGTGTGTGAGTGCACATGGGGTGTACATGCACATGTGTGTGCTTGTCTGTGGAGGCCAGAGTTCAACATGGGCATCTTCCTCTGTCTCTCCTTTGTCTCGAGACAGCATCTTACTGAATTCAGCACTCAGGGATTGGCTAGTCAAGCTGACCAGCAAGCACTGGTTGTGTGTAGACACTTTACCAAAGGAGCTGTCTCCCTCGCCCTACTCTGTCTGAGTTTTATTTGATTGACAGTCTCCTACCTTTGCCCATTGTGGATGTGTTTTCCATCATCTGCACCTTCCATAATTACATTGTTTTATTTCTGTGCAGGGTCTGTTGATCTGAGTAGCCTATGTGTTCTCTTGCTTTTTATATTGTTCATCTAAGCGCATTTACGCCTTGGTACCAAACAGACAGTCTCCCAGATCTCTGGGTTTACTCATCAGCTGTCTGTCGCTTGCTGAACTGAATCCAGTGACCACTCCCCAGCAGCCAGGCTGCCTGCCACTCTCTCTGCCTGTTCTTTGTGTCCCCATAGAGAACTGAGGTGTGGACCTTATGGGCCTTTTCTGTCTCTACCTAAAAATGATCTGGGAGCCTCTGCTCACATACAGAGCACACCCGTATGGGCTTCACCCTCCACACATGCCCAGAGCAGCTTCACTGTCTGTCTTTCCTGGCCATTCCTCACAGCTCCAATGCTCTGCCTCCAAGTCTGCTGCTCAGAACTGTTTTATTTCTTTGTGTGTTTGTTTTGTTTTTTTTGTAGTGCCATGTGTATATCTTCCACTTCCTTTGCATGCGTGAGTGAGTCCAGCCTTGCTCTCTACTGTCCGCTCTGATTCTGGTCTACCATTCTGGGATGAGTTGATTTCAGATGTATTGATTATTATTTTTTTTTTTTGATGAATGACATTTTGACATTTTTCTTTGTTTACTTTTCCATTGACCTTCTCTATCTAAGGAAGCCTCTGTGTCTTGTTTTTTCTTGTTGATCTGCTCTTTTTCTGCCTGTATTCTCCCCACACTGTGAATTAATAGGTCCATTGAGGTGCAGTGGCTGGGTGGAAAGGGCATGTCTATGTATGTGCAGAGAATGTATGTGGTAAGTGATTCTGTGTATTCATACTTAATGTACACACTCAACTGTAGTATGCGTGTTGGTTATAGAAAGTCAGTGTTTTGCAAGTTAGCACCTCGTATTTTATAAAACTCTTAAGGCTACCAAGCACCCCTGAGTCTGTTTTGCTTTGGTTGCATGTGTCTCAGTGCTGATTTTTTTTGCTAGAGGTTCTTTAGACTCTTTAAGTTCTAAATTATTCATTCCCCCCAAAGTTTAAAAAAGTTCCCTTTTCCAAAAATCTCATAATTTATCAATATTTTTATATTTAGAATGCAGGGAATTTTTTGATGGAATTTCAAGTGAAAAATGTTCCTTCAGAAAGGATTGCAACCCAGAAGATCCTGTCTGTAATAGGAGAGTGCCTTGACAACTTTGGCCCTGGCTGTGTGGGTGTTCAGAAAATACTAAATGCTCGATGTCCTCTCGTGAGATTCTCCCATCAGGCCTCTGGATTTCAGTGTGATTTGACTACTAACAATAGGTATGACCTCGTGAATTTATTCACTTAATTGTGACTATTCTAAGGTATCAATTTAAAACTTTTCTTGTTTAAAAACAGCTCAGAATTCTTTTAGACATACTTCTGTAATGACCTGCTGGCCAACCTGTGTATGTATGTGTCTGTCTATCTGTCTGTCTATCCGTCTGTCAATTATCTGCCTATCTTAATGTAAACTCACTAAATCGGGGGTAATGGCACACCGCTGTAATCTCAGTTCTGGGGAGTCTGAGTCAGAAGGATTGTGTATTTGAGGCCTGCCTGGGCTACATCCTAAGTTATGTCAAAACTGTCAATGTTTTTTAAAAAAGTGAACAGTTAGATTGTAAAATAGAAATATTTTTAGTATTATTGCTTAATATACTGTTGAGTATACTCTTAAACAAAATATTAGAGTATTGTGTTAAGATGTTAATAGGACGATGAGATCCTGTCCCTTCTTCTGTCCTTTCTTCCCTTTTTCCTTCCCCCCTCCCTCCTTCTCTCCTCTCCTTCCCCCTTTCCTTCCTTTAGTTGTTTTATTTTTGTTTAATGCATATGTGTGTTTTACCTGCATGCGCTTCATGTGTACTTCATGTGCGCCTTGTTCCTGAGGCCAGAGAGGGTGTTGGGTCTAATGGGACTAGGGTTACAGAGGGTTGTGAGCCACCATGTGGGTGCTGGGAATTGAACCTGGATCATCTGGAAAAGAAGCCAGTGCTCTCTCTTTACCACTGAAACATCTTTCCAGCCCCACAAATGTACTCTTACCCTGTGCTGCCTGTTTTATGTTAGAAAATAGAAGTAAATCTTCAGTTTGACACCTGAGTGTCTCTAGGCATTGTCTCTGTTGAATACTAAGGTAATAAGTGATGGCCTGGGTCAGAAAATGTTCAGAACAGCTTGAGGTTCTTTTTTTTTTTTTTTTTTTTTTTTACTTTTTTTTTTATTGAGAAAAGGAAAATAAAAAAAAGTTTCCGACTCCTCCCAGCCTCCCTCTCCAATCCAAAGAGCAGTCAGGGTTCCCTGCCCTGTGGAAAGTCCAAGACAGCTTGAGGTTCTTAAGTTTCTCTTCAGTGTATTAGTGCTATATTAGCTAGCTACCCAGTAGCTTAGGAAAAAGTGGGCTGTGAAGAACAAGTTCTTTTATATTCTGAACACTTTTCCTGGGCTCACTCACTCTGGCACCTATTGTTTGTTAGATGAGTAATTGTGACTGGAGGTCTAGCTTAGAGCAGCTTTATTTAGCTCTCCTGTCAAGTCACTGAGTACTTTTGGACTGCCCTCAAGTAACACGTGGTATAATGTCATTGTGTTTTTTAACTAAGTTTAATATAAAATTAAAATACATACCATACTTCCTATGGACCTGCCATTGGTTGGCCACTATTACCCCAACACATCTTGGAGGCAGGGCAGATTGTAGGTCAAAAGGTTTTGTGTCTGGGTTGATGCTCCAGTCCCACCACTGGAAGCCTTGCCTAGTTACAGAAAATGGCTCTTTAGGCTCCGTATCCCTCATTCCTAGGAGTCTTTGCTAGGGTCACCCTCATAGATTCCAGGGAGTTTACATTGCAGTAGGTTTCCATTGCCCATGAAATGCCCCCCCCCCCATTCCTGTATCTCTCCCAGGACCTGCCCCCACCTGATCCCTCCACAATTAAGAATTTCAGAATGATATTCCTGATCAAATGAGTAGAATGTTTTCCTGGGTAGAACAGCTTGTTTGCAAAGGACTAGATAAGTAAGGTGTGAGGCTTCAATGCAGAAACGTTTCCCAGTCTTCCTGTCTACAGTGTCAGTTACGAAGAACCCTTAGACATTGCACTTTTTACGTAAGAAACCATGTTTAGGAGCTTGACTTTATAAAACAGTTTGTTTCAGAGCTTGATTGTGGATGTCTCTGGTTTTAAGAGTGTAGGAGTTGCGGTGGCTGTGTCGATAGTTGAGCATTTACATTGAATTGAACATTTTGAATACACAGTGGTGGTGGTTGGTTGGTTTTGAGGCAGGGTTTGATGTAACTCGGGCTGGTCTCCAGCTTGCTTTATAGCTGGGGCTGTCCTTCAGCTCCTGGTCCCTATGCCTACACCTTCCACCTGATTTGCAGGTGCTTGCCATCATGTCTGGCTGCATAATGCTTTTGGTTTAATTATGGTGTTCAAAATATAAGCAAAAGACAGTGAGATACTTAGATCTGTTCCTAGTTGTCTGTCTTTTATTTGATTTGTACCCTAACTCTGGGTTTGAAGATTTTTTTGTTTTCTGTTTTACCTTTTCTGTTTTGAAGTATTGCTTTGAAAAGTTCTGAACTCCTTTATATATATGGCTCCCTGGATTCAAGAGTCAGAGCCTTGGTGTTCAGTGTGCGATGCTGGGCTCGAGCACATTCGTTAACAAGCAGTATTCCTGGTGCGTGGATTACAAACTTCTCCCTAACAGTGATGGTCATCTTTTTCCTTCAGAGAAGATCGCCCCCCATTCTTCCAACTCTGGATTCCCTAAAATCCCTAGCAGGTAAGACTAGAAGTGGCCTTCCTTTTGACACTGGATTGACATTTATGATGTATGATCAAAGCATGTATATTTGTAAGTCATGTCTTGATTTTTAAATCTAAAAATAAATGGATGTAAATTTTAATACTGAATCTAAATTTTAAGTGGTGTGTATGTGTGTCTGTGTGTGTATTCACCATCCGTCATAAGAACTGGTGTTGTCTAGCTAGGCCTTTGGAATTGAGAGCTGTGCCCTTATGGTGTCAGCTTGCAAGATATTTACCATAGCTTTCGAACAGCTGAAGCCTCTCACTTCGTTGACCCAGTCTGAGATGAAATTGAAAACGCATTTAGCAGTCCCCAGGCTTCCCTGGTTTGATTCTCTCTGGCCAGCACTGGGGTGTCTGAAATTGCTTCCTGGTGTTCTAAAGATTCTCAATGTAGATGTATTTTAGTTTACAGTCAGCCCTAGGTATGTAGTGTTGTAAATTCAGCATGCTATTTATGTTATGAATAAACTGAACTTTGGGTAGTGTTCTGGAAGAGATAGGAAACATCACACCAGGAGCACGTATGTAGAAAGTGTGTACGTACTTTATAGTTGTCCCATTGTACATGTTGCCCCACGGTAATTCTTAAGTGTATATGGGTCCTCTCTGTTTAAAATGACCCTGAAAAGAATTTTATTCCTCTGTAATGAGTTGTGAACTACTTGCTAATATTTAAACCCATTTCTTGTCTAAGCTGGTGTTTTCTGGTATTACCCACCCATACTATGATTGTTCTCAAGAATATTTTATACCTGCTCCTTTAGTCATAACTCATTTTTCTACCTGGAATGTGGTCTCTCCTCTCAGATTAAATTATGTCTTTTTGTTACCTTCACTTAATTCAAATCAAAAGTAACCCTTTCTGGGTTGTTCACATTTGACCTAAGAAAAAGCATTGTAGGTATGGCTGTCAGTCAGTACAACTATTGATTTCCGGTTGATTGGCAGTTGGTTCTCTATAATACATTGTAGGTGTGGCTGTCAGTCAGTACAAAGCAGGATTTACTTTTACTTTTTGGTTTTAAAATCACTGTGGAAGAACTTTTCTTAGACGAATGTCTATTAAAGTGTAGTGGAGACCACTTTGGGGTGAACTTATCAGAATACCTTTCCTCTTCGTGTGCATAAAAAGTTACGGAGTTCCTGTTTGCTGGCTTTAGTAAGGCTAGTATTGATGTCGACTACATCTGTGGCTAAGGGTAAAAACAGTGTTAAAGTCAAAACTGTAAGACATCTTGGGAGTTCTCTCTAAAATTATTTTTTCTAGCTTGTGTTTTAATTCCTGGGGCATCTTTCAGAACTCCTAGAACTTTGTTGTAGGTTGTTCAGAATCTAGGCTGAGACCAAAGCTCACATTGTCAGCACTCTGTGCTTGCCCTTTATGACCCTCCTCCTCCTTTTCCCTCCTCCCTTGACGCCTGTGGGCATCCTCCCATCTTGCTGATCGCAGGTCAGGTCAGGTGACCACGCCCCTCTCCACCTGCGCTGCTGTGTGCGCATCTTCCTCTGATGGGCCTTTCTTGTCCAGCTTCCATGAGCCTAGGCTGTTCCATATGCCTATCTTGTTGCTATGGCTGTCATTCCATAGCATAGTCACCAAAACCGCTTTCTCAGAGTGTCTGAGTCAGTAGCTCTGCAGCGAGGACTCAGATCTGTTTCTACAAACTTTGGGGGATGCACTCCACTTTTTGAAAGTCCTACTGACCCATGGGATTTGATTCTTTTGGCATTTGCCCTTTAATTGTGGTGAGTCTGAATAAATCAGCTTTTTTTTTTTTAATAGATTACAAAACTTTGTAAATCCTTCCTAACCCTAGGTCATGACAATGAACTTTTTTTTTTTTTTGGTAAGTTTTATAGTTTTACACTTAGACCTGTTATCCATTCAAGTTAGGTTTTTTTGACGTGTGAATGTTCAATTATTTTTGTATTATTTGTTTTGAAATCAAGGTCCACTTTCTCTTTTTAGTTATTTTTGTACCTTGACCAAAATCAATGACAATAAATTGCCCATATTTGTGTGGGTTTATTTCTAGACTGGTGAATCTCTTCAGTTGCTCTCTCCCTCACCCCACAATACTGCAGTACTTCATGTGCTGTATACTGTAACTTATGTGGATAATGTGATTGCTATAATTGTATTCTCTCTGAAGTCATTTTAGTTCTTTCCCTTTCATTGAGAATGTTCAGACCTGCCTGTGTCTATCTACAAAGCACTCTGTGGGTACTCAAGAAGAGTTGTGTCCTACTAGGTGTAGTTCAGTTATCTGCCTGTCTGTTTTAATTTAGTTGACAATTTCATACATGTACATAATACATTCTGGTCACACTTGTCTGCTCCCCCAGCCTTCCACTAACTTCTCCCTTTCTCCACCAAATCTTCGCCCCTCTTCCATTTTAGTAGTTAAGGTAGCTGATGCCTATCCTGTTGGCCTGTGTCCATGTTGTCTGGGGGAATACCTAAAGTAGGAAAAGAGCAGGGAGAGAAAGAAGAGGAAACACTAGAAAAACAAAACATTTGTTAGGCTTGAATGCAAGGTCTGGAAAAAACAAAGATGGCCTTACCTTAAATCAAATTGCTTTCAAGTTTCAATATTTCTATAAAATCTTTTTAGTGAAAAGGAAAATGAATAAAGTTTCTGGATTTTTTATTGATATTTATAGAAATATTTTTAGTGTGGCTCATTTTTCTGTTAGTAATTTTAATGAAAATAAAATTTTTTATATAATATATTTCTATTATGGTTTACCCTTTCCCCACTCCTCCCAGATGCTCCCCACTTCCCCAGCTACCCAAATCAACAATTTTTCTTTACGTCATTAGAATACAATTAGTCTATGGATTTAGGTTTAATTGTTTTTTATGGAATTTAGTGTACCCTTGATTGGTGTGTATATGTTTAGAATTGTAATACCCCATTAGTAAAGATTTTTAATGAATGTGAAATAAACCTCTTGATCACATAATACCCTTTTTGGTTTGCAGCTAAAAATAATAATAAATAATATGACTAAATAAAAATAAACAGAAAAATGGAGCTGAAGAAAAAGCACAAGAAACAAGTGCAAATGCTGAGACACACACATTCACACACACAGAAAACCCATGGAAACAAAACTGGCATCTGTACTGTGTAAGCAAAGGGTCTGTAAGGGAAAAGATGCTCAGAGAAAGCATCGGGAGGCAGCAGCCCTCCAAAGACAGCTTTGTATTTGCTTTGTGTTGGCCATCTTCTGGTTGTGATCTGTGTACCCAGTGAAACCCCACTGGGTTATCAATTAGAGATAGCGTCTGGTGGGTCAGGGATGGAGGCTTGTGTCTACTTCCTCTCTCAGCACTGGGACCCTATCTAATTTAGACCTGTAAGCCCCATGCCTGTGCTGCAGTCTCTCTGAATCCTTTTATGTGACTCAGTCCTGTTGTGTCTAGCAGCCTTGTTTCTTTGTTGTCTTCATCCCATTTGCCTCTTACAGTCTTTCTGCCCTTTCTTTGCAGTTCTCTGAATTTGATGAAAACGTCCTGAGTGTTCCTGCTCTCTGTTTGTTGCCATCTCTGATGATGGCTGAGCGAGATACTCATCTATGAGTATAGCAGAATGTTGTAGAAGGAGCTGCGGGCAGGCCTGCTTTTCTTCCCACCCAGCTCCCGCAGCACGGCTAGCTTTGCCCCGGAAATATCAACACACAAATTGTATTCTTTTACACACTGCTTGGCCCATTAGCTCCAGCCTCTTACTGGCTAATTCTCACATCTTGATTAACCCATTTCTAATAATGTGTGTAACACCACGAAGTGGTGGCTTACCGGGGAAAGATTCAGCATGTCTGACCTGGCGGCTGGCTCCATCGCATCTGACCCAGAGAGGAGAGGCATGGCGATTGCCTCACTTCCTCCCAGCGTTCTGTTCTGTTTACTCCGCCTACCTAATTTTCTGTTTTATCAAAGGACCAAGGCAGTTTCTTTATTAACCAATGAAAATAACAATAGACAGATGGCCCTCCCACATCAGAATGTCATTAGCAGTCAATTAATTGCTACGTTCTTTTAGCAGAACAGTTGTATTTGGTTTTCCCCTTGGGTCCAGGACCTGTGCAAGACTTAGGTTCTTGTTGGGAATGGGTTCCATCTCATGGAGTGGGCCTTAGTTCCAGACAGTGTGGCTGGGTGTTTTCACGGCTTTTGTACCACTATTGCACCAGAATATCATGCAGGCAAGTCACCCATCACTAGAGTTTGTAGCTAGGCTGGTCTTCCCTTTCTCCTCGGATAGTGTACAGAGCACTTCTAGTACTGTGAACACTGGTCAGGAGGGGTGAAGGTTCTAGGTAGACACCAAATTGGCGTCTCTGTCATCAGTGAGCTATGCAGGTGTTGTCTTCAGCAGGAAGTCCTTACTATCAGGCTGTGGAGAGCAACCAATATCCTGGTTGTTTAGGGGCTTCCATGGGACTCCTTTATTAGTAATATTTTAAGTCAGAGACATACCTGGGAAAAAAGGCATAACGGTTAAATGATGGTGAATATATTTGACTTACGCTGTCACAGAATGTTTAATCTGTTAGTCTCTTGGCATATTAAAAAGCATGTATATAGAGATTTCATAGGAGTAGAGGTGTTGATATACTGTGTGGTGGATGTAAGGCTGCACACTGTAGTGGAGGATGCACGCTAGCTCTGTAGGGTGTGGAACATGAGCAAAAGAGGAAGAGAAGTCTCCATGTTTCCTTCAAAGACGTGTGTGTCCTCTGTATGTTTCTGCCACCTCCCAAGAGCACCAAACTGATAGTAAATCTCCAACAAGTGGGACTTTGGCAGATATTCCAGATGCAAACTAGCAGGAGAACGCATAACATTGGGGGACAGGAAATATGTCAGTAATTTATTTGCTTTTTTTTTTTATGTAAGAACCAGTAAAAAGGAGACAGGCTTGACGGAACCTTATTTATTATCTCTTTCTAGTTTTTCCCTGGGGATTGTAGGCCCTACAGTCATTCAGATTATTAAGTTTCTGCTATAGAATGGATATGGTTATGGGTCAAACTGGGCAGTCTGGTGAGTTCAATAGGTGGCTTGAATTCAGAAACATTCAGACAGGAGGTACTGCAGGCTAGATCTGTGAGACTCCAGTTTGCTTTGGAGAATCATCCTGTACATTGTGTATTGGGGTAGGGATGAGAGTAGCTGAGCAGTTCCATGGTGCCTGTTGACTTAACAAAGTAAAGACAGTGACTATGTCTCACGATACAATGCCAGTAGGAAAGTGAAAGGGTGGTCTAATTTAGCCCTCTTAGAACAATTAGTTTGTGTCATTGGATCAAAGCAGAAACAGTGTTAAGGATGGAAAAGAAAATCAATTGCTGATTAAAGACATCCCGAAGTTTGTTTATTGGAAAGTAGAAACTGCATGTTTTCATTTTTAACTAGAAAACTGATTAATTCCAAGATAGATTAAAAGCTTTGAGTTGCTAGAAGTTAATTTTAGTACAATGAGGGACATGTAGCATTAGTTTCTCTGTTTTCTGACCATCTCAAATCCTTTTTAAGTGGAGTTTTAAAATCTATGAACATGACATCAGTATTTAACTCGTGTTCTGAGGTAGGAAGTACGTTACACTGTGAAACTCTGCTTCTGTGTGTTTAAGATGCTGAAGATAGATGTATCCTAGACGGGAATAATTGTACATTTATCCGGGACTTGTGTAAAATTAAACCTTCAGGAAACACAGAAACATTAGGTAAGTCTTTTTTTCCTTTCTTGTTCTTTGTTCATATTCACACAGATTTTCCTCTTACTTTCTTTATCTTGTTTTCTTGCAGAATTACTACTGAAGGAATTTTTTGAGTATTTTGGCAATTTTGCTTTCAATAAAAATTCCATAAATATTCGACAGGTAAAGAATGTGTCAGCATTTGTTACAAACTAACTCTGCTCCACCAAAGTTTTAATTAGATTTTTCCTAAAGCACTCTAAATGCTCAGGTCTGAGTAAGGGTCATGAGACGGAACTGAGATGGGCTGTGGCACTTGACTAAGCTCTGTCATCTGCTGTTGTTCTTGATGCTAAGACTGTATCCTTCCAGATGTGATAGCGTCCCCAGAGTTCACATATAGTTGGTTAATAAAGATGTGCTCAGTGGAAGAATTTATCTTATTTTATTTTTGAGACAGATTTTGCTAAGTGCGTCCTGTTGGCCTTGGGCTTGTGTGGTTACAGGTGTGTGCTGACTCTGGCCATCCTAAGGATGATAGATTTTACTACTTCCCTCACTTTCAGCTGTTGGGGCCTAATTTAGCACATGCCACTTTATAAAGATTGACTTTATTTATATTCTCTCTCTTCTTTTTTCCTTCCTCTCTCCAAGCCCTTCTCTTTTTAAGTAGTTGTAATATGTAAAGAGGATTTTTGTTGTTGACCTAGTCCAGATACCTGTCACCTGAGCATTGACATCATCATTCATAGATCATAAACCTAAGTAATCTTCTTCACCGCATACCACAAACTACGTGGGAAAGAGAAAAAGCCAGTTATATACTCACTCGTATAAATGTGAATGTAGCAGGACTCTGGGGAAAGCAGCTCTTTGCTGTCTGACTTCCACTGGCCTTGTGTGCCCCTTCTTACATGGATGTTTCTTCTCTGTCGTCTGTAGGGAAGGGAGCAGAACAAGCCCGACTCCTCTCCTCTGCACATCCAGAACCCTTTTGAGACGTCTCTCAACATAAGCAAGAATGTGAGTCAGAGCCAGCTGCAGAAATTTGTGGATTTGGCCAGAGACAGTGCCTGGATCTTAGAACAGGAAGATAAGGGTCAGCCTTCCCCTTCAAGTAAGCAGCCCTGGGGGCTGGCCGCCCTCCTGTTGCCTCCTGGGACAGCCTACCCATCTCTCTCCAAGAAGAAGAAAAAGCTAATGAGTGAAAAAGTCAAAGGCTTGTTAGCATCCATAAAAAGTAGCAGTACAGACATTTCCAAAGGCACCCATGGAAAGAGAGCAATCAGTACACAGGCATGATGGCAACTGCTTTGGATCCCGGGAAGAACTGCCATGGAACTTTGACAGGCCTTAATTTTTATCTGATCCCATTTGTCACCATCTCATTATGCTTTTACTTCACCTGAAGTTCTGAATATTTCTTTCCAATCAGGTGAAATTTTATTAAAATATCAGTGGCAAAGAATACGTAAGATACATATTTGAACTCGGCAAAGTATATGGTAAAATCAGTTTTATCAGCAAATTAGTTGATATTTCTGTCAGTTTTTAGATGGAAATAATTTCAAAACATTTCTAATTATCCCCATGTACAGGTGATGAATGCAATAAAATTCCAAAATTTGGTAATACTCTTTAATATCTATATTGTGTTTTCAGCCAGAGTTCTCTTATTAGGTGTTTTCTTTTTTGATTGCTATACAAAGTAATGGGTTTCACAATGGGCTCCTGTATAGACTCTGTCTTTGTGAACCTTCCCCACCCTTCCAGCAGCCTGTCTGGTTTCCATCTCCCACCTGCCCTCCCCTCCCCGTACGGCCTACCCCCCATGGTCCTTCCATGCTGTGTACATACATGCAGAGAGAGGTAAAGTCAGCTGTGACTTTCTGGGTCATTGACAGCTTAGCAGCTCCCGACACAGTCACAACATCCGCGTTCTAAGTCAGATATGTAAATTATGGATAAATTGTGCTTTAAACTATATTTTATTTAGAAATCTAATTTTATTTTTGTTTTCAAAAATAAAACCATTTCTACTGAAATGTGAATAGTATTTCTAATATTTCTTCACTTCTCTTTTTGAGATCTCTCTGTAAGAAATAAATACATTTACAGAGACATATTTTATATTGTATTCTGTGTAGTAGCTTTTCTAGAGATATCAATGGTCTAGAGTTAAAACTTGGCTTCATGGCAGGTCGCTGTCCTTGGCTGAGGTTGTTACAGCCTCAGAATGGGAGTAATAGTGCCCACTGCTCTAGGATGTGTAGCTGAGGTACAGTAAAGGTGTTGGTCAACGCCTGACACAGTCAGTGCTACAGGCTGAACCCGCCAGCATCCCAAACGCAGCAGACACAGTCATCCTCTACGTGTGTGCCTAATGACGAAATTGGGCAGGACCAGGTCCACGCACTGCATTCGCTCCTCCATGCTCTGTGCACGTGTAGCCTGCTGTTACTTGTTACTGACGTTATCTGTGAAAGTGGCTCACGATTTTCCACTTCAGGGACTTTCTGGTTGTTTGAGATGAGGGATGCTCACCCTGTACTTACCGCTGCTGCTGCTGCTCTCTTGACTTTGGGGGCATTGTCGTAGGCAAACACTCCACCTCAGAGTTTATAGTCTACAGTTATTCTTCCTGCTACTCAAAATTCATATTTGGAGCCTGTAGTGGTTTTAAAGTTTTAGAACAGAATTCTAATGAACTTGGGATAATGAGGAAATCGGCAACTGTGGATTTCTGAAGCGAATCTGCTCACGGTGTGCTCTCACCACTCAGAGCCAATGCCAAGCCAGCAGCAGCTTCCTTCTACCGGCGGTACCCAGCAAAGGCTGCTTTCCTTTGTTCTTGGAGCTCCTTGTGTGAGGTAGAGCTTGAACGTTTCCGGCTGCAGTGACTTTCTTTCTCCAGCCGCATATTTTCTTTTGTGTAGATTTTATTTTATGTTATTTAAGCACCTAAGGTGTATGTATGTCAGTATTCTTTTTTAAAATTTTTAACCTATTCTCTTTTACCGTGATACTGATAGTCTGTCTTTTCACATCAAGATGTAATTATGTGATGAATTTTAATGTAAATTCTGTTTTGAGACAGGGTTCATGCAGCTCTGAGTGACTGTGAGCTCACTATGTAGCGGAAAATGACTTTGGACTCGAGCCTGTCTCCCAAGTGCTAGAATTACAGGTGTGAGTCCTACACCTGGCTAAAACTTTTAGTATACAATTTTAAAATAAAGGTTTTATAAACATTCTTGTCCTGTTACAGCAAAGTAGGTGTTTTGTGTGTGTGTCTGTGGTGGGGATGTATGTGTTGCTGGTGGTGGTGGTGGTGGTGGTGGTGGTGGGTGTTATTACTGGGATTACTTTATGCCTAGATCCATGTACATTCCATTTAGCCTGACACTCTACCACTGAGGTATATCTGAGCCCCATAATAAATAGTTTTAAGCTGTATTTAACTGAATATAGGCTACACATAATGTATTTTCTCATATCTTTAGTATATCACAGCTCCATTGTGTGTGTGTGTGTGTGTGTGTGTGTGTGTGTGTGTGTGTGTGTGTGTGTCTGTGCATGTGCGGTCATGCCGGGTTGATGTGCTAACCTGGGCCAGCAAAGCCCAGGGATCCTGTGGGTCTCTAGCACTGGGGCTGCAGATGCACATTGCCTACCAGCTTTTGTGTGAGCACTGGGGACCATCTCAGGTCTTTATGTCTCCTCTGCTGACTGAGCCATCTCCCCAGCCCACTGCTGGGTTTTACTAATTTTATTTCATTATAATAATATATCAGTGATTTGACATTGGTCTTACTGAATTGAAACTAATTACAAGGATAAGGAAAAGTTCAGCTTTTCCCTAGGTGTGACTAGGCTTTCATGGGTAGTTTTCGCCTACATTGGTTTTATTGAGTACATGAAAATAATTTTGATGAATTACCTAGATCAAATTGATTTGAGCTCTGCATTATTCAAAGTTCTGTGACCCAGCAGAATAGTCTTGAGGTTGTTGCCTATCTTGAGCAAATTTGATTAATCAGCCAGAATTGGTCTGGGAAATGAGAAGTGACTCAAGGCAGTCTGGGAAAGCAATGTATCTGCCATTCACAGTCAGTGGTCATGTGTGGGAGAGAGGGGAGTAAGGACAATTGGAAAAAATGGCCTTCCTGTTGTCATTTGTTTGCCTGTCTTCACTGTACACTGTCGGCAGGGAGAGGGCAGGATTAGATTCTTCTAGTTACCCTATGTTCCTAGGATTTCAGCCTTAGAGAGGTGTCGTTTTGAACTCCTAGCCTGCTGGTGTGGCAGTAGGGGAAGGCTGTGTCTGCATGTCTGAATAAGACCAGAGACATCTGCACCAGAGCTGTGGGAAGGTGCAGTCATGCAGAGGCAGCAGCTCCCAGAGCGGCATCAGGCAGTGAGTGGCTGTCACTGTGCCTTCATGCAGTCTGATAACTGGTAATGGATCATTCAAAATGCTATAGATTGCATTTCTGATCAAATCACCAAAGACAGGTCTTGTAGAGAGAGTGGGTAGACAGTGAGAGACCGGATTATCCCAGCAAAGGGAACAGGAGTTTGAAGGAGAAAATATTGGAGACCTAGAGGTCTACGTTACTGCGTAGAGTTAAAATTGAGTGAGGTCATGTGCTGGTTTAGTTTTGTTGTTTTTTTCCAACTTGACCCAAACCTAGATATATCTTGGAAGAGGAGATCTTAATTGATAAAATGCTTCTGTAAGACTGACTTGTAGGCAGGTCAGATTTTTTCTTGATTAATTATTGATGTGGAATTGCCCGGTCCTCAGGGCAATGCCACCCTGTGCGGGTGGTCCTGGATGGTATAAGAAGGCAGGCTGAAGAAGATACAAGGAACAAGCCAGTAAGCAGCAATGCTCATGATTTCTGCTTCAATACGCCTCCAGGGTCCTGCTTTAGTTCCTACCCTGGCTTCCCTCAGTGATGGGCTATTTAGTACCTGGAAGCGGAAGATGAAGCAAACCTTTTCCCCCAAACTGACTTGGTCTCAGTGTTGATTTGAGCAGTAGAAGCCATAACTAAGACAGTCTTGAAAGACTGCTAGCTGCAAAATACAGGTCTTTTCCATGGTAAGTTTTGTGCCAGGCATGCCCGGTGTTTTCAGTTGATCGTTCTTCTCACCAACTAGTCTTAATAGCAAAGTGAATGGCATAGGTTCAGTGTAGATGAAGTTTGGCTTTGGTTTTGCATAAATCATTCTCACTTTATGTTTTGTTGAAGAGTAAAGCTGTAGGAGTCCCTTGGCAGGAAGTACGGATCGTAGGGTTCTATGTTAATCAGGACCTCTTTGTAATACATACTTGGAAGAGAATAAAACATCTAGAAATCATTTTTCACCTTGGTGTGGCATTGGGATGTTTATTTGGAATTTTTAGAAGGCTTATTTTTGTTTCCACGGTGAGTCCAGTTATTTGCGGGTACAGATTGCAAAGGATATAAACATGACAGTGAGCTTCAGGAATTCCAGACAGTGTCTGCTGCAGAGAATCCTCCATCTTAGTGTTATTATTATTTTATTATTATTTCCATTACATGAGTGTATGTTAAAACATTTTCATCCTACAACAGAATGTGGTGCTGAGGTCTATTTTTTAAAGAGTGTCAGGCTGGTGGACAGCTCAGTGGGTAAAATGTTTGCTGGGCAAGTGTTTCCCAGTCCCCATAAATAAAGGTGCTGCAACCTTGAGGCGGGGTGGGCAGGCAGAGATAGGCAGGTCCTGGAAACCTGGGGTCAGCCAGTCCAGCCGAAGAGCCGCAGGTCCAGTGAGGGATCCTATCTGAAGGAAGACAGCAGCATTGACCTCTGGCCTGCACACAGGCTGTGCACCCACATGCTCATGCATAAACATACTCCCAACTTTAAAAGAAACTAAAAGGTATACTTGAGAGCTGGGAGCAGTGCACACTCCTTCATTCCCAGCACTAGGGAGGCAGAGGTGGAAGGAGTGAGGAATTCAGGGCCAACCAGGATTCCATGGAGACCTGGGCTCAAGAACAAAGCATCTTTGGGCTGTGGTGGCATATGCCTTTAATCCCAACACTCAGGAGGCAGAGGCAGGCAGATCTCTGAGTTCAAGGCCAGCCTGGTCTACAAAAGTAGTTCCAGGACAGGCTTCAAAGCTGCAGAGAAACCCTGTCTCAAAAAGCAAAACAAACAAAAATTCTCTGTTGTCATTCCCATCTGAGTGACTGAAATCTGAATCACTTTGGTTCTAAGCATTTTGGAGTTGGGATACCCAGCCTGTCCCAAACTTGGTGTTCATAAAGTCTAAACTGATGAAATTCTAAGATTGTTTTCTCTGGCTTTCTTTGGAAACTTAGCATAATGGATGCTGTTGAATCAAACAAAGCAGTTTAATGAAAACATCACAAATCTAGGGTGCATTGTGCTCCCTGCCACCATTTCTAATGTGTAAACTGGCTAGGTCCAGTTAGGAAGCTTCTCCAGGACAGTGACTGGGACTTGGCACAGGAATGCAGCTGGGGTTTTCATCACACTAGGATATGTTTATGGTGCCTGGGCTGAGGGAGAAGGCATGTTCCTTCCATTCCACTCTCAAAACTGGCAGTAAACATTGTCCTTGAAGCTGGCTGATGGCCTGCAGGATGCATCCATAACCATATCAAACTTCGGGAGATAATTTTGAACATGGTGAAATTAGACTGAAAAAAATAATGAGCCTGCATAGAGCCTTCACATGTTTGGACAGTTGACTCGTGGGAAGTTGTTTTGAACGTATAACCCACTGACTTGCCACCTCTGTATCAGTCAAGTCAAATCCCGCACACTCTGCTTTGTCTTCAGAAACATGCGGTGCCACAGAAGGTAAGGACTGTCCTGACCACAGTGCCGTGGATCACCCTAAGGAACAAACCATCACCTCAACTAATACCAGTCTTCTGGGGAGTACCGGGGCTCCCCAAGTGCCTTTGTTTATTTTTAAATATTGCCCTAGCTCCATTCATCTTTATTCTGTGTTCAGCTACATCTATCTGTTAAAACCTTTTTGTTTATCTCCTTTCTTAGCCTCTCCTTTTATCTCTGCATTTACTTCTGACCTGTACTACAATGTATCATTTTTACATCTACCTTTAAATCTATTAAGCTATATTTAAATCTGATTTTTTTTTGTTTTTCCATTCTACATTTTTCAGGAAAAATAAAAAACAAAAACTTCCGTGCACAGAAAAGTTAAGAGAAACGTGCTTCTTACACAGAATGCATCATGCATTTCCTTAAGGGAAACTCAAGATTCTATTAAGAAGATAAGTACACTTTCAAAAAATTGTCTGATTTCCCCCAAATACTGCATGTAGTTATTAGGGGAACAATTATTATACTACTAACAATGCTTTGAACAACCTTCCTATTTCACAAGTTAAGTACTTGGACTTCCTGTGCACAGCTGCTTGAGGCCTGAGTTGCATACCTTGGTAGCCTGTTCCTCTGTGGCTTTGCATATTAGTGTGGTACTGCTTCCTGTGGAGCAAAACCTGGTAGTACTCACATTCTCTCATGAGGTGCCACTGTCTGCAAGGGAGGATCCTGCACCTTCACATGGAAGGCTTTGCTTTGCTTCCAGGAGGTTGGGGGTACTCATGCTCTTGGGTCACCTTGTTATAGAAAGGCATGAGATTTTGGGGATAGATTCAGTGCAGAGTCTAGTTTTTGTTTACCTAACTTTTTTGTTGTTGTTTTCCTGTTTGTTTTTGTTTTTTGAAACAGGGTTTCTCTGTGTAGCCTTGGCTGTACTGGAACTGGCCCTATAGATTAGGCTGGCCTCAAATTCAGAAATCTGCCCACTTCTGCCTCCCAAGTACTAGGGTTAAACGTGTGTGCCACTAGCGCCTGGTTTCCAGGCTGTAGCACCGGTTGAAGGATGCAGCCCTAGGCAGGCATGCTCAGTGCATGCCCACTCTAGCATACCCCAGACTCATTGCCTGCTGGCCCTCTTGGCACGGGTCTCAGACCTGTGATTGTTGCTCCCTGTAGCATTCCGACACTTTCAAGCTGCTGGCTTTTTTTTTTTTTTTTTTTTTCTCATTTGTAGCGGCAGTGGTGGTGGATACTATCTATCTGTTCTGTTTTTACTGAAAACCCTTGAGGTTTGAACCCCAGCCCCTGGCTCTTGTTCAGGATTCTGCTGCTCTCTGACTTCCCCTCTGTGCCAGGAGACTCCAGTGCTGCCTCAGCACCAGCCTGGTCTTGTGGTGC